TAGCCATAAAGGTGTATGTGGTGATGGTGGTAATATTTGAGTTCCTTTCCCCTTTGTAATAAAAGAAGTTCTGTTAACAAGTATAAAGTGCACACCATTTTTCAAATGCTGTCTTCCACTGAAAGCTGAGTTGCATTTCTAGCTGTGGTATCATCACCAGAAAGAAATTCTGGCACTGGAACTTTAAACTCTACTGCATGCTTGTAGAACTGTATTGGCTTTCCAGTGCTAAGAGTTGTAAGAACTCTTAAAACTTACTTTTGTTTGAAGAAAACAAAGTATTACTGGGATAAAATGCACAGGAGGCTGATACGTTGAGTAACAAGAAGGTATCATCGTTGTTACATAGTAACCCTTTGAACTATGAACACATTTCATATTTCTCCGAAGTTAGTATTCACTATATTTAGAATAGCCTTCAAAGAGCTTCCACCTAAAAATGAATCCAGATTGGAAGAGGTGTCTCTGTAAATCTTTCATGTGCAGTAGTTCTGTGCATGGATTTACACTCTGTTGTCTACCTACATTTCTCATCGATTTTTGCAATGGGTAATAATGAAAAAGATCTCTTACTTAATTGGGCACAGAGCATCCTGGTTTAGTCATTTGTCAAGAGAGTTACTTAAATACTCTCTAAGCAGTTACATAAGCCATTCAAAAATTCATACGTGGTCAAAAAATAGAGGATACGGCATGGTAAAATACACCAGGACTGTTCCTAGTAGTCAGTCACTGAGGCAGCGAGAAGGTGACTGTGATTTTCATCTTCAGAGCTGTCCAGAAATTGCAGCTAGCTCAGCTATATTGTTTTTCACCTGTGTGTGTTTCTTGAGGAAATGAGGCAACTGTGTAACTACCTCAAAGCATGCGCTCCATGCAGATACTTGGTGTTGAGGCCATATTACAGCTGAGACTTAGCTGGAATTTAGGCTTGTTCCTGCTGTTTCCTGTAAGCCTTCTAAAGTCTTTATCCAGGAGCAAGTACTAGTCACAGGGACTTAGGAATTACCCACTCGGGTTCAGCAATTGATGCAAAATTGATCCAAAGCTCTGAATTTCCTGGGTCACAGTACTTAACAGCTATTTTAAGCCTAAAGCGCAAAATAATGACTGTTCATTTAACTCCTTTGCCCCACTGGTAACACACAAGAAAGCCTATATAGCACGTCTCTGCCTAGATAAGCAGAGTAATGGAGGGGATAAAGAAAACAGTTAAAACACCACCAAAACATAGTTTATTTTCTTGGTTGTGAAGATACTGAATTTGTAAACTGTGTAGGAGTACGTAGTTAGATAATAGAGGAGAAATGGTAGTGGCCAGGAAAGGTCTGTAGGGGGCTTGCAATGAATCAAATCATCGCCTCATGCGATTTGCTGTGCAGAGGCTGATAAGATAATTATCTTTTTTCCTTCTAATTAAAGATAATTTTGAATTCAAGCCTGCCTCCATGGGTGTTTTGGAACTAAAATATATTTTTGTTAAATTGCATTGGATGACTGATAGTTTTTGTTGTTTTTGTGGGCTCTCATACTTATCATTTCACCTTTTGGACAGACACAGCAGATGGCGTTTCTCAGGAGCTGTTCTCTGCAGGCCTGGTTGATGGCCATGATGTAGTTATAGGTAAATTACATTTTTGTTTGCAATTACGCTCTTGTGACAAGTTTGTGTTAAATGGATGTGAAAAGTGTTTTCTCTAATGCTGGTTTTCACAAAATCCTTTTTGTCCTAATTTTGCTTTCATGTATGCATAGTTCAATCAACAAGTCAATTTTGATACCAGCCCAAGGATTGCTTTTGGAAGTCAGAACTCTTTAGTGGTTTGAGAGGGATGATATAATGTAGATCTCTTGTAGGATTATTTACAATTAAATGATTGATCATTTTTGTACGAACTTAATTTTTTTTGTTTAAAAATAAAATGATTTTTCAGTAGGATTTTGCAAAGTGTACTTTGGCAGCTCTGGAGTTAGTAAGTATTCTGCTTGGGTTCATGGAAGTAGAAGCAAGCCAGAGTTCAGGATCTATGGAAATTGCACCTAGAGATATTATTTCTATGGTTAAAAAAAGTTAATCAGAAATGTTTTCTGGCTGCTGAGAGGAAAGATACTTCACTATTTTTCTATTCTGTGCTTCAGTAATTTTTTTTTTTCTTAAATGAAATTCAGTGCCTGGCAAAGATGATTAATTTGGAAGTGCTTATTTCCCTGCAGTTCCTTCTTTTCTTCTGGTTGCTCGAGACCAGTAGATAATATAGTTACCAAAATCAGAGGGGGGCTAGTAGATGCTAAATGTGTGAGAACTGAATCGAGGAATACTAGCAAATCAATTCTGTGTTGTGGTCAAAGTAGTTCTTATCAATTGGTTCAGATATCATTACCAAACTCCTCAATGATATGGAGAGTGTGTTTTACAAATCCGTAAGTTCATGTGACTTGCTTGGAAGATTATCTAAATACATTCTCAGTGCCTTTGTAGGGTGGCTAAAGTATTTCAGAGAGAAGCCAATACTTTTTGCTTTTGTATGTTCAGAATACAGGTTGATTCTAGCTGATCTAAGAAACAAAAGCCCTACCTATGCTTTTAGTTTAATTTCTAAAGAAAAAGTATTTAGGGAAGGTTCGCAGATGGTAAAGGCTAGCAGGCACTCTTCTCTTAAAGTCGCTTCTACTGCGCTGTTACTATAAGGGTTCAGGGGAGAGGATTAGCTTGGCCTTAGTTTGTTGCCTTTTAAACATCCACTATGAAAAATGTCATTACCATACTGCTGATGATGTTTTTGTTAGAATTTTCATTGCCACAAGATACCTTACTTCATTTAGAAATAATAAATAAATAATTTTTTTCTGGCTCAGAGAAGAATTGTTATCTGTTGGCTATCCCACCTGCCTGTGCAGTCAGCTGGCACTCTGTGTTGCACAGAAGTCAGTGTCAGGGCTGGCGATGCTGCGGTGCAAGTCCTGCTGGGACCCAGTCAGACCCCTTTTCCCTTCTTCGCTCTTCCCTTTTCCCTTTGCTGCAAAGTTCTCTTCCAATGTGAAGTGCCAGTACTTCTATGGAAATGGCACCATGAATGGGATTTGTTATCATCTTTCAGCGGGAGTGATGGGGGAAAGGCAAATGAAGATAGATATCCCTCATGGCTTTAGTGGTGGGACTTTGGTCCCACAGCTGAAGCATGCAGAAATTCAGTCTCTATAATATGAATGAAAACGAAGTTCTGAGATAGTCTCATAAAAGTTGTTCCTGTAGTTTCTTTTAATGGATGTTGGAACGTGTAGAGGCTGGGAGAAAAAAGAAAGGTGAAAATACCTGTGCTTATGTTGAACACTTCAAGAAGCAGCACGAATATTTAAATAAGTAAGGTTTTCCCTAGCAGGCTTGGTTAGAGACACTGTCTAGTTAATAATAAAAGTTTAGTTCCTTGCTTAGTTCCTGCTCTGAATTGCATCAGACTTTGATTTTTAGCACTATGTTGATGGTCCTTTCTGTTCTTTCCCGTTTATCTTTTTATTGTGGTATTAAAAAAAAGTAAGGAAATCAAATTTCTGATATATAATGAAAGCATTCAACTTAAATTTAATTTCATTAATTATAATCAGGTTATATGTTCATTTTTCTGTGATGTTGCAACTTACCTCAAGTTCCACAGGCACAAATTCTTGCATGACTTTGTACTATAATTTTCACTTGTGTCTGCTTTACCCATGAAATCGTTCAAGCTTTCATATACGTTTGGACATAGTTATCGTCCTAGAAAATGACTTTAGATTTCATGTTTTACTGAAAGACAAGTTCTGCTAAATGCAATTTTACTTTTAATAAAAAAAAAAAAATTAAAGTTTGACTTAAGTTAGAGTATGTTTGTGACTTGCTTTGGGAAAACTGGCTAAATGTTGTATGGGCATGGAATAAAACAACTTGCATTCAAGCAGATTATTGCAAATTTCAGAATTTCACTGTAGCAGTGCAGTCCTAAGAAATATTTCAGTCCCTTAGTTTAAAGCAGTAGGTCATATAAGAGAGCAGATGGTGCTGAAAATGTAAATCTGCTTACAAAACTAATTTTCTGTGTAAAATGGTTTTGCCACCTTGTTCATGCGAAATTACAGGAAGATTTTAAACCTTTTATAGGAAGAGAGGAATAGTATAGAAGAGCTTGGTTAACCTTCTTCACCAGAAGAACCGATTCCATTAGCTTCCAGATTGAAAGCAGCTGATAAATTACCTTTCACTTTTCAGCTGAAGCATGCAGAAATTCAGCCTCTATAATATGAATGAAAACGAAGTTCTGAGATAGTCTCATAAAAGTTGTTCCTGTAGTTTCTTTTAATGAATGTTGGAACGTGTAGAGGCTGGGAGAAAAAAGAAAGGTGAAAATACCTGTGCTTATGGTGAACTCAACAATTTGTTGGCATAACAGCTGATTTTCTGAAAGGACACTTGAATAGGAGTCAGCAAAAGCTGTTGCGGAAAATATGGCCGTGGCATACGTGAGTTGAAGCTGTTAGTGGGGATCAGCTGATGTGTAAGTTCTATAGAATTTGCTGCTAAGCATCAACACGCTTCAGCTTTTGAGTCTTGCTGGATTTGCTTCACTTAACACAGGCTTCCCAGGAAGATTTCCATTCTGATAAGCAATGAGTTCAGCTACCTGTTCTGCAGAGAAGCAAAAATCCCATCTTGCATGTTCAGTTCTGGCTACAATTGACAGGTTTCTGTTCTTACTGACAGTAGCATTATTTCACAGGAGGTCCCTAGAACAAGGCACTGAGTGCAGAGAATTTTGTTTAAAAGCAGACTAGAGTTTGTGTTTGCAGAGGGGGATGAATCTTGGAGCTTATATGTAGGCATTGGTATCTGGCTGATGAGGTATTTTTATGCAGTACCGAAATAACTATGTTAAATCATATGAAAGATCTGGAATATTTTCAAAATACATTTTGAGATGAAATATGTCTCTGTGTGTATGCGCAATATATGTATATTAGCTAGTAAACATTCATCTAGTAATGCTTTATTATATTTCTGATACCATAAAGGAAACTCCAATCATATCAACAGTCAGTTCTGTTGAAAATCATAGTTGCAATCCTACTTCACTGTATACAATGTGCATATAATTTCAGTGAAGTCTTAGGCTATAGTTAATCTTCTAGAGGCCTTGCTTAAATTTCAGAACAGGTAAAGGTGTATTTACAGTTGTTAAATTGCGGTATATAAAAAAAAAGAAATATTTACCTTCCTGAATACTGCTTAAATAAAAGCCTTTATCTATGCCATCAAGAAATGTGCAGATGCCCTTTACTATATTAATGTACCTTTATTTTAGGTATTTTTGTCAAAAAGTATTTGTGAATACCTTGAGCATCATGGAAGATGTACCTTCATTTTTAAATACACCAGACATTAACTACTGGTAAATGGAGATCTGGTTTTGGTGTTGGAGCTAGACCCAGGTATCCACTTAGTAACCAGAGGAACAGCTTTTAGTCAGTCCAAACAAAAGCTTCCTGCTTAAATGCCTAATGCGTTTAGAAGAACCAGCTGAATACCCAATAGGTCATATTTTGAAATGAGATCATATTTTGAAAGTAGTAAGCTTTTTCATCGACATCTTGAATATTTTTTAGCAGTGTGAATACAGTAGGTGCCCATAATAGTTTGACTAAGGGTTTTGGGGTTGTTGAATGGGGGGGTGGGGTTGGTTTGGTGCAATTACTGTGGTAAGTACACAGGACTTAAATTGGCATCTAGAATAAAAAAAAATCATGGCTGTGAATGGGTTATTTGGCCATGAGTGCAGAGAACATGTATCTGACCAAATCCACAATGACATTATTTCAAGGGATGTTAAACAGTAAGTAATACATACAGTTCCCACTTAATCACAGTATTAAAGCATTTGAAATTGAAACAGCTGTCTTACAGTATAATGTCTGCTGATGCAGAAGGCACTTTTCTAGTAAAATGGAAAGATGAAAAAGCAGAAGCCCAGTTTGTTAGAATACTGTCTGTAACAACATCTTAACTCATAGCGGCACTGATAATCCAATTCATAGAAAAGCCACAGAGTTACACAGTGAATATCCTTTTGCTTTCCTTGGTTTTGCTCTGCATTTGCTTATACCTAGTTTACTTTGCTGTCTTGTTAGATTAATCATCTCTGAAGCTGAATGAAGTGATGCCTTTTGTTCAACTAATTCTGGCTTACCATCTTACTGTAATGAGAAAATGGGATAGCGCTGCACGAGTAGAAAACATATTGCATTAATTTATGTCCTCAAAGAGCAGTAATGTTGCTATGGGTAGGTGACTTGGATAGCACTTCCATTTGAAGGCAGCATAGGTTTGTCATTTAATATCAGTAATATTTTGAGAGGCACTGATTTTTGTAATCTTTGAGGGAATTTGTTAGAAGTTTTGTTTCTTCTTCTGTCTGTTTATTCTTGTGGTTCAAACTGAGTGAAATAACTGAATTTTTACTTAAGTGTATCACGTTTTTATATGTTCCTAAGCTCAATGTACCCATAAATTTTCTAATGAGAAAATGCCTTTATAGACCCTAACAATTAATTTCAAACGATAGACTAAATACTTTGTGTTTACTTTGTAATGTATTA